CGATTTAAGTTCACCGTCTTTATATGGGTGTGGTTTGTGGCACCCCAAAACAATTACAATAGTAACATCAAAGATCACAGATCACCATAACAAATATAATAATAATAATGAAAAAGTTTGAAATATTGTGAGAATTACCAAAATGTGACACGGAGACACGAAGTGAGCAAATCCTGTTGGAAGAATGGCGCCAATAGACTTGCTCAATGCAGGGTTGCCACAAACCTTCAATTTGTAAAACAAACAAACAAACAAACCCCGCAATATCTGCGAAGCGCAATAAAACGAGGTATGCCTGTATTAATGTTTGTGGAGGAGAATATAACCAAGATGTCTTCTAAGGAGAGAAAATAATTACGCCAACAAGCTATTAATGATGACTTAACGTAAACACTAAAATAATTGATAGGGAATGTCAAATTATAGTACTAACAGAATGAAATAGATCAACTTCAGAAATATAGCATTTTTTTCTTGGATACACCAACAGTTATCAGCCTCTAGTTTACATCTGTTTCCCAGTCAATTGAAACCTGTCTGTTTTGTTGAACAAAACTATCAGACTTGAGAGTGAAAATAATTGTGGCTTTGACTCCTATTAAATATAGCTCTTCTTTTATTTTAGTTATCTTACTGTAAAAAGTAGAACAGTAACTCAACCATAGTGATAAATTGTTTTTTCCCTTTCTTTAGAAGACATCTTCAGATATTAATACACCTCATAGTTTTATTCAGTCAGTTATTAAATACAATACATCGTGCTGCTTTGCAAAGAAACTTGTTTTTTCTTATTACTGTATCAAAACATTTCTTTTTCGGGCAAAATTTAATGTATTGGGATAATATTTGTTAAGCCATTGTGTTAACCTTTTATTTTTTGAGGAATACTTCTATTTTTGTATTTTATCACATGTAGATTACGACCTTCAAGTTGCTCTTTCAGAAGCACTGTGTAGGTTGATGACAAAGAAATGGAGGGATGACCTTGTTCACCACTGGTTTGAAGATAATTATCTTGCTGAGGCTTTCAAGGAGATAAAGGATCGAGAATTTGAGACGGTAAGGGTCCTTTATTTTGAAAGCCAAAAAACCAGATGAAACTAGCCCCTATGAAGAACTATGGGCTTAGAGTCAACATTTCTTGGCAATGGTAAAAATAAGCTTAATGCTCTTGAAAGAAATTTGGTTCAATAATACTCTAACTATATTAATGCAAGGAATGGCAGTATTGCATTTAAGCTAGAGCATTTAAAATGTTACTATTTTAGTTTTAAGATGTTTGATAGTTTAGACTGCTATTTTAAAATATACATATTATTTAAAATTCTTCAGCTGGAAGAGGAAGATAAAGCACACTTTCCCCCGCCCATCCCACACCATAGACTATTCAAACTTGCAAGAATCTGGTCCTAAATAGGGCTACATGATAAAAGATAGATGCTTAAACTAGTGATTCTCAAGCTTTTTTTGTACCTGGACACATTTTGTAAACATCAGTGGCTGGTCCTGACCCAGTAACTAGTTTTAAGTGAAAAACAGGCCCCCCAGCCCCATGGGGTATGGGGGGTGGGTGGGACAAGTGGCTGGAGGAGGCAAGGGCAGCATGTCCCCCTACCACGTGTCAGTTAGTTATTTCTCATATTGAAGCACCATAGCTGGCATGGGGTTTGTGGTGGTGACAGCAGCAATAAATCTCACTGCCCCACTCCTGCCCGTGCCAGTCTGGCCAGGCTGCAGCCCCATATCCACTGTGGGCATGTAAATCTGGGAGGATGTGTGCCCCACCCTCCAATGCATTGCCTGTGCTACTGCCCCCCCCAGCCCCATAGGCTTACCTGTTGGGGGCTACTGGAGCTGCTCTCCACCCTGCCTGGCTGCCACATGTATGTGTGCATGTGCACATGGTGCCCCCCTGCCCCCCTTCCCTTCCCCCTTGTTCCAAGCTGTCCCTTGCAGGCTGAAACTCTGCCAGCCTGCAAGAGGCAACATGCACTTTCCCACATTTTTCTGTAATGGTTGTGATGCACTTTTGGGTCGTGACCCACAGGTTGAGAAACACTGCCTTAAACTACCTATGGATTAAGATGCAACTCAGCATGACTTAAGGATGGCAGTCCATCTTTTGTTTCCATGAGCATCTTCTCAAGCCCACAGCCAAGCATTCCATCTTGTGCTCAAATTCCCTTTGAGGTCTTCTACACTTACCATACCATTTTCTTTTATACAACATTCCCAAAAATAAAATATGCACCATGTTTTTTCTTCATTCTACTCTTCAAAAACATCTTTCTGCATAGTAACTGACTGAGTAGCAGTAGCAAGGGAGCAGAATCTGCTCATTGCTTTGTAGCTTGTGTGCAGATTTTACTTTTACTTTTGCCCAGATAGTGCACATGTTAGGGCAGAAATGGCTCTAATTTCCAGCAGCTGGTTTTGGAAAAGTGTGCATTTTGTATATGAGAATATATGGTATGTTTTTGGTTTGTAGAGCAGGTATGTATGTTCATCTGAGCTTTGCATTAACTAAAATGCTGTCTTCCTTTATAAGGGAAGAATGTACTAATAGAAGACTGTTACAACAGAAGGAAGATAACTACTCTCCCTCTAACTTCCCAGAATTGATGAACGCTGAAATTATAAACATAAAACTTATTTGCTTTGGCTGCTTAACTAGCATGTCAAAGTAGCAGCCTGTGGAATTTCCCTGAAGCCCAGGGGCTTCTTGTCACTTACTGTAGTAGTGGGATATATAGTGCTTTTAGGAAACCTAGGGTACAACTGCATATAAATTAGAACATTTCCTGCCTGTCTGCCATTGATTTCAATGGAAACTAAATTGAGAACCTACTGAAGGAATCTAAAGATGCTTTAATTGTTCTCGCTCTCTTTCCACCCCCTGCAGCACCCCTGCCACCCCCCCCCACCCCCCCAAGTGTCAT